CTGGCTCGTTCAGAGATGATCCGCCCCAAAGGAGGCTTCGCAGGAGCTTCCCTTTGAGTTCCCCCGGGTCTCAGCTTTGTAAAAGTCGTAGCCTGGCCTACTCTGCTTTCTGTGTGTGTGTGTGTCTCGTGTTGGATTTACTCCAGTGTAAATGTGAGGGTTGGCTGTTCCTTGAGTCGGCGAAAATGGGCTAGGCAACAAGTGGCCCGCCAGAGCTTATCCATCCATCCATTGATCAGGGCATAGTCAGAATGAACGTACGAAGAAGTCCAGTTTCCCCGATCCAGCGAGACGGCTCTCAAGTTTACACTCAAGTTTACACTTGAGTAGTCCAGTCTTCTCCGCTTGTGGCCGTGGTGGAAGGGGAGGAGGAGAGAGACGAGTGTGATCTCTTCTAAATGCCTGCGCTTCCCAGGTTGGCAGGACCTTCTCCGGTTGTGTTAGTTTCCCCCCCCCCATACACACACACAGACACACACACAAAGCCCCGCCCTGCTCCGCTCCCGGTGCGGATCCGCCGTCGTCGCGTCCTTCATGCAAGGACCCTTGTTGCGGTTTGGAGGGGCGGCTTTCCTCTGGGTCCGCAAGGGTCCCCTCCCGGGTACTGCCCCGGTGCCCTAACGTCAGTGAAACACATTCCCAAGGCAGGTTGAGCCTGGGATAACAACAGTCTTCTCCAGCTGGGAGGTGTTTGGGGTTGACCCTTCACCATCGACTTCGGTTAGCTGCGGGAAAAAAATGACTAAACCTTACCAGCAGACAGGCGAAGAGTACAGTACCATCTTATCCAGGTTTCCCCGTGATGGAGCGGCCGGTTTCAAAAGGCAGGAGCGGAGCTCCGCGCCCTCCCACAGCCCCGCAAACTCATATGATATACCTTTCCCAAGGAGGTTCCAAAGATGTCCATGTCGGTATCCGCGCACCGACATCCCAGTACCATCACACCGGTGTATCACAGAACACCCAATTAATTCGGATTAGTTGACAGTCACCAAATAGTGAACTGGCAGAGGGTAGTATCCGGATGTTGTTATTGTTTTTCTTTAGGAAAGAAAGGGGATGGAATAAGCAGAGGGAAAACAGTTCTAAATGGACTTTTTTTTGGGGGGGGGGGCTTGGAGGTCCTTGTAAAATTCCTGAATCAGGCAGGGAAATTGCACAATAAAAGCATTGTCTGGAAGCAGCCCCGGTCCCAATCAGCTCCGGAGAAAACCATTGTCTGAGCTCAGCCTATTGACAGGATTACTGTGGGGATAAAGTGGGGTAGCCTGCCGGCCTGCCGGTATGTATGAATGTATGCTGCCTTGAGTTCTGTGGAGGACGGGAAGGATGCCAAAGTGAACACCATGCGAGGCTCAGCCCGCCGCTTTGCATGCAAGCCAGACAGAGCTTGGGCTGTTCCTTTGAAGAAGAATGGATGGAATGGCATTTGGAAGCCACTCTTAGCAGAACAGTGGGAGAAGGATGGGCTGAGTCCCCAGAGGCATTATCCTGCCTCTGCTCAGTTACAGAAGCCTTTAGGCTATTCGCCTATTTATTCTTCATAAAAGGAACCTCCCAAATGCAGCTCATTTTGAGCTGCTGTAAGGAATTCTGTTACAGCTGTGTTGCATTCTAACACACTCTTACAAAAAAAAATTTAAGGGGTTCCTTTTTAATTAATGCAGAAAAGGCAAATATTAACCCCAGGCACTCTGGGAGAGGATGACACTTTTCTGAAAAAGAAAAATCCCTGGTCTGTTTCATCACTTAACTTTCCGCTGAAGTAAAGCCTTCTGTGTTCCTTGTGTCTTTCTCACACACAAATAAGTTAAGGATTTCAGGCTAAACACACTTTGCCTTCCTTACAGCTAGCTACCTTGTTTCCCTGAAAATAAGACCTAACCTGAAAAGAAGCCCTAGTATGATTTTCCAGGATGCTCGTAATATAAGCCCTACCCCCAAAATAAGCCCTAGTTAAGTGAAACCCCGCCCTCCATCATTGTGCAGCAACCAGATGGTGACATGACTGTATTTGAATAAATGTAGATTGTTGTACATGAAAAAAAATAAGACATTCCCTGAAAATAAGCCCTAATGCGTTTTTTGGAACAAAAATTAATATAAGACCCTATCTTATTTTTCAGGAAAAGCATTTTCTGTATTGGTTTATTTTAATTGGGAATTAACACCCCTCTTCGTAACGACCACAGCAGACAGGAAACCAAACGAATGCAATAGAGATCTGTGCACTGGGAGCACTGTTGAGGTTTTAAATGGTGAGGCAGCTCTGTGTGGAAAACTAGGCTCCTCACTGCAGCAAGAATCAGCCTGGGAGGTTCCTTGTATTGGAGAAAAATAAATAAGGGCCCTGATGTTTCTGAGAATGAAAAAAGAGAAGAGTGGACAGGATGGAATTTGGAGGCTGCAAAGATAATAGAATTGCTGTCTGATTTGTCCTCAGCAGAGCTTGGAAGAGAGGCAGTTCACGACTGGGCTGAGGGGTGCCCCTCAAGCTGGTCCCCAAGCCATTCCTGGCTTAGAACATTCTTTTTCAAGAGTAATCCGTTACTTTTCTCTCTCTTTTTTTACATTCACACTGTAGAAAAATAACTTGTTGATAGTAACTGTTCTTTAAACCCTTTTATTCCTTTTAAAATTATTCCTTTTTAAACATTGCATTTTTAAAAATCCAAAAATGCCCCCCCCGTCCCCCCAAAATGCATTATTACAGGAGTAATGAGTAGGCATTACCTACTGGGCTAAAAAAAAAAGTAATGGTGTTAATAGCAGGGAGGGCTTGGAAAGGTTACCTTTTAGGACATTCAACTTCCAGAAATCCCAGGCAACAATTAAAAATAGTAGAAAAAGAATGGAAAGCCAGTCAGATGACAATAATCTCCTCCGATACCTTCCTTTTGGCCTAATCACCTCTTCTTGACAACACGGAATAACTTGCTGAATATTCTACCCTTGTTTCTTCCTCCTGTTGCTGTTTGTTACTTAACCGGAAAAAAAGCATGGCTTGACATTTTAGGTTTATTTATTTTTCTGTGTTTGCATCCCACCATATTGTCACCATGGTCTGCAAAAGGAATTCTGTTTTTCTAAGAAGCAACTACATATGCGGAGTCCTTTCTCATCTCATACAGCAAGTCTAGATCTACTTAGATTCTGCAAAGCAGACTTCTTCATCTGCACTCAGACTCCATGCAAAAGGAAAGCGTATACTGTATTGAAAAAGCCAGGAAATAGATCAAGTTGTTGGGAATACTTTGACATGGTGGTACTTGACTTCATCCACACTCCAGAGCCACTGTAAGTAAGGTGGGGATCCTTGCCTGATCCTGGTCTCTCAGGCCTTTGCACAAAGATGGGCAATGTTGCCCTCCAGATGTTTTTGGGCAACAGCTCCCAAGTGGATTGCACAGCTGTATCCCTACTTTGACAGCGGATCCCTCACCCCATTGGTCCATGCTTTGGTAGTCTCAAGGATCAATTACGGTAATGTGCTCTACATGGGGCTGCCCTTGAAACTGATCCGGACACTTCAGCACATGCAGAACATGGCGGCCAGACTAGTGAGGGTAATTAACAAATGCAACACATCTCCCCGATACAGGCCACCTTGCACTGGTTACCAGTTCATTTTCATATCAGGCTCAAGGTGCGGGTTTTGACCTAGAAAGCCCTAAATGATTTGGGATCTCATTACATGGCAGAACGCCTCCTTCCAAGAGAGGTTGCCCATCCTACCTGTGCATCTCAGGCCAGGCAGCTGAGGATGCCAACCCCAAGCGAGGCCTGGAAGGAGGAAACAAGGAACTGGACCTTCTCAGCACTCGCTCCTCTGCTCTGGAATGAACTACCACCTGAAATCCACCTGGCTCCCTCTCTGGGGACATTCAGGAAATCTTGAGAAACCTTCCTATTCCAGCAGGGTTTTGAAATTATGTCATCTTAAAAACTCTACTGAGAATGTATTTTTAACATCTCTAGCCTCTCCCTGATGTTAAATTAATTTTAAATTTGCAGTTTCTCTGAAATTTTTGTTTTGTTTTGTTTTATAGGCCACCTTTCTGGGGACTTATTTATTTGTTTTGTTTTGTTGTTATGTACCACCCAGAGTGACCATTGGTCAGATGGGCAGTTTAGAAAACAAACAAACAAACAAACAAAGCTTTACCATTGACTACGCTGGCTAGGGGTTGTGTGTCAAAAACATCTGGAGGCCACCAGTCACCTACCCTTACTTTAGCGATAAACATAGCCGTATCTATCAGGTGCATAAAACCTTTGTCACCCTCCTCTGTGTGGGATGTTTTCCTCCTTCATTTCTGTGTGTCAGACTACAAGCACTGACAAATGTGGCTAGGTAAACAAGCGTCATTTCCCCAAGAACCCTACTAGATGAATCCACTGGAACATCTGCACGTTTCATTTAACAGAAATTATTATTACGACAAGCACTATCATGTTTTGTTCTCAACAATACCTA